CATCAATGATTTATTGTTAACAAAAAATGGAAGAATTACGTATTTTGTTACACGAATTTTCTGCACAAATCCTGCTAATAGATTATTGGCTACCTTTAATGTAGCACAAACCCCGGCATAAAATTTCCAACACTGGTCCCACAACTTTTTATTGGTCATGTAGATCTTTTAAATACTCCAAAAATGGAAATGTAATACCAAAAAAACAAATCATAGAAATCTAGCACGAGTTTACTAACATGTATATGATATTGGATCCCCCAATATGCTATGATCACTAAATTTTGATCCCTGAAATTTTTGGTACGTAATACCAATGTTCACTTTGTCTGGTTTTGTTGCAGTCTGCCCCATATATATGTATAATAATAATAAAAAATAATATTAGCTTTAGTTTTACTTTTCATTTTTGAATGAATTTAAAAAAGGAAAAGAAATGAGAACATCATAATATGTACATATGTACATGCTGTGATCCATTTATTATATTAATATGTGTTAAAAAATCAACGGGATTTGACATTAATTCGTTAATTGAAAACATTAATCCCGGAGCAACCTTTTTTTTTATTTTTATTTTTTTTATTAAAAAATATCTGTATTCGTGTTACATTCCGTATATTTTTAATATTAATATTAATGATTAATATTAATGGCTATAATCCCAAATGTGATAATTCGCCCAGACTGGGATATTAAACATGTATATAAGGAACAAGAATTCGCTGTACTTTAAAAGTAAAAAGTATGTTTTTGTGTAATTGATACACTTTGGGTTCTCCGAAATTTTGCTATAGTGTACCAAAATCTACTAAAACAAAAAACAAAGGATAAATTTATTTATTTATCAAAAAAAGAAATAAAGTATATAAACATGATTGATTTGAGATTGACATCAAAAAAATTTGCAACATTAAAAATCATTAAACTTTATACATTTAATAATATTATTTTCTTTAAAAACAATGCTGTTTAAATTGACCACTGCTTGTGTGATTGATTCAATAAAGGAACAAAATTAATTATTTCGCAATAAAAGCTATTTGTTTGTTTGTTTATTGTTGTTTTTTGATTTTGGTATTAATGCATGGTTTCTATTCATAATACAGTCAGAACTCATTAAACCGAAGTCAATATTTACAAAAAAACTTCAATTTAAAAAACATTAATAAAATCGGCTCTATTTTAGCACAAAAAGCTTTAGAAATACAATATAAAAGAGTTATCGGTTTATTAAACTAAGCATAATTAACTAAAAAAAAGGATTAATTATAAAAGAATATCTGATAAATATTGGCACTTTCAACATTTACTAATAGGCTTTTAGACTATATGATAAAAATACAAAGAATATTATTAACTTATCGGTATGCTAATACCAAAATTATTTTTTTAAAGAAATACTCAGATTCTGATATTTGCTGATACCCCCCCCATTACCCAATTTGGCATCATTTGACCAGTAAAAAGAGAACCAGTAGATTATATATAAGCAAAGAAAGATGGGAGCACAAAAGAATTTTAAATCATGCACAAACATAACAGCTTGATATTTTGATTGACATAGTGGTGCAGTCTTGGTTTCCATGCGATTTTTTTTATTGTATATTTTAAATATAATTAATTAATCATACATCTTTAATAAAACAGACATGACTTAGCTATTTAATCATTTCCTTGTATGTGAATGCCTCCATCCATCAAATATTCACAATGGTCATGATTATTATTCAACATATTTGATATCATCATTGACATAACAAACAATTGCATCACCCAGGTAGTAACAATACCAAGGCCATGCATAAACAAAACTTTTAACAATGCATGTCTACTCAGATCTCTGGGGTTCACAAAATAAATTTTTCTTCATGATTATCAATTATGGTTCCTAAATCTGATGTTGATTGCAGGTGTCAGATTTAATTAAACTTTCCTATCACAAACATGCAATCGCGATGCAATTAAGCACAATTCAGCACCATGGAATTTTCTTTCCACAGGTGAAGGAGGGTTGAACATGTTGGAAGGCTTTGGACAAAAACATTCTCATTATCTTCCCCTCAGACCAGGCTTGGCTGTCACCATATGGGCATTGATCACAGATAGCTGGTGCTTGTGTGATGATTGATTTGTGTTATACACCTCGAGTACAAAGTTGGTGTTAAGACTGCTTGAAAATTCTGCAACTCGGGAGGTTGCAACCTGGGTTGCTGTTTTGGTTTTTCCCTGAATTCAGAGTTTTGAGTCCTGGGTTGCTGTAATTTTTATGAAAAAAAAAGTATTAATATTTAACAATTAATTATTTAAATGTTTATTTTGTTGAAAAAAATATACATTGATAGTGTACATTTTCTGTGCTTAACATCCATGTGACCCTAACTCTGGACAAAAAATCCCTTTCTATGAGTTTGGCTGGTATATCCCAAAGGCGTCCCCTGCCTTGTCAGTGGCATGCCTACTCATCAACAACCCTAGCCCCATTTACTAAAATAACAAATTCAGTTGGTCAGACAAAAATTAAAGAGAAGCAGAGAATTTGGGAAAATGATTAATTTTTAACATACCAAACAAAATCCGAACCATTTTATGGCCTTTTTCTTGTTGGTCATATTGCTGACAAAGATGTATATAATCATGTGATAATTTTAACCTACAGGATGGGGAACTGATTGGGCAAAAACCCATTTCAATCCCCTACCCAAAATTATAAATTTGTTAATGTCAGAGAAACAGAGCATTTATGAAAATGAATATACAAAACAAACACTATTTTACAACTTCCCTCTTAACATCAGAGTCCAAATGCCACCAACCCTGCTCTGAATTATGACCTCCTGAGCTTGGAACGAGCTGCAGATTCTCTTAATATTCATCAGCAGAGTTGCGACTTGGTCACAGTGCCATCCTTGCCCTAGAGGTAGGATCGTTGCAGTTGACTTTTTGGCCAGCATGGCAGCAGCCATCTCTGGTCTGGGTACTGTGAGAGAAAATTAGTGAAAGCGTCATTGACGATTGGTGCAGTCTCGGTAAACTCCAGGACCATGCTGCCCCCATCTGGAATTTGGTAGCATCATTGTATCCTTGGGCGTCGCAGGTCGGATTAGCCTTTTGTACACGAGAAAGATGTGTGAATGACTGTAAAGTGTTCAAGGCAGTGTGCTTCAACACCTGTAAATTTCCGATAATCAAACGTCGCATACTCAAATTGTCTCCTATTCAATGGTGTACTGCCTTGACATCTTCTTGTGATTATAATAATATTATTGATTACGAAAAGAAGAATATTATCAATGAAAATCTTGTAATTACCCAGCAAGATCTGCTCCGCATTTTGATTTCCAATTAAAAATAAAAATATCAATCAATACAAGTAAAAAAAAGTACCTCTATTATTAACATTTCTTCTTTAGGAGACCAAAACCAAACCAAACAACAACACTCACGTTTTGTCACCTTGGACTCTGTCAAAAAATAAATTGTTTTTCCAAGAAAAAGAAAAAAAATCAATTCGCGTCTGTCCTACCAAAAAAAAAACCAATAGATAAATAATTGTGCTACGCGAGCATAGTAGAAATTTGAAATGGTAAACTAATTTTTTATATTGTGCAATGTAGCTTTACAATACACAGCAAACATTCTTGCAATAAAAAGTAAGTGATAAACTGGATTTGAATTGGATCTGAACTTGATCTCCAATTTAGAGAGGTAACAACTATATAACGGAGAAGTTTCAGAAGCAATGAGTTCTGTATAATGTTTCGTGTAACAACAAACTTCCACTATGCTTGCTACACGTCGATTTAAATCTGAAACTTCTTTTTTTATTAATCATGCCAAAAGAAAAAACAAAAAGAACAAAAGCCAACAATGTTGCAGAAGCAACAAGACCCAGGTAAGTGTTTTAAGGATGGTGGTGGTGGTTATCGCCCGCCACCCGTCGTTACTCTAGTTAAATAAAAATTAACTTTGCTTGTACATAACAAACCAGCAGAAAAGTCAAAAAAAACGTTTTGCGTGACTCGACATCGTTAAATTCAATTGCTGCTTCTATTGATGACAATTTATCAAATTTATCACCCAAAGAAAAATCTATAAACTACTTAGTTGGACCAGGTGATGTTGAATGGAAGTTAAAAGAGCATGTGAGTACTTTTTACAAAAATGTAATAGTATTGGATCTCCAGATGTTCTTTTTTGAACTGTCTTCCTCTTTTCTCCATATAGTGGCTTGTAAATGACGCAGATATTACAGAAATTTTTTGGAAATATAGAACTGCAGCAATTACCAAATGTTCACCAATGACAACCACATTAAAACCAGAAGAAGAACTGTTCATATCATTTTGTGAAAATAAATTTTGGAATGTTGTTGCGTGATTAATTTCTTTACTTTTTTTTGTAGTGCTTTAAGTCATATATTTGTCTTGCAAGAGGAAAATCTTCAAGGGTTGTCTCAATACTTCAAAGAAGAATTATGGCAACAATTATTTGACAATATACGAAGCAAATACCCACACCAACCAGTACCAACAGCAGTTCTTGACCTTGTTAACAAAGTCATGAATGTAATGTAATATTTGTTTAACACCTTTTCCAATTAATTATATACAATCTAATGTATGCTTCATCACGTTTTAGATAACATATTCTGAACCAAGTCATCATCGATGTTGAAATATAATCAAAACATTCCTTCATGACATCAAACCTGCCACGGATTCTGAAGAAATAATGTTTAAAATTCTTCGAAACCTGTAAGGTTTTATGATATAATGTTCTTTATCAAATAGAAGTATGCTAACAAGGTTATTTCATGTTCTACAGGGCAGAAAATAATACATCATCTTTTAGTGATGACTACAATGAAGATACCTTTATTCACGATATTATCGAACCTGTTGTTAAGCCGTTCTTTGCTAATAACAGGAGAACAGCTATGAAGTGGTATGTATTGATTGATTGGTGTTTACTATGATGATCCACACCACGTCATGTTCAATTTTCTATGTATCTGTAGGTCCAACACAACTTCAATATCTTCGGCTCAAATGAAAAAAAAGTTCGACCCAACTTTAATGGGAGTCAGACCTGACTTTATTGTTCATACTATAAATTATAACAATTACATTGAACTACTAATTGGAGAATTCAAACCACCTGGTACAAAAGTATCTTTAGTGAATGAAGATTTCGTATGTCTTGGTAAGACAATGAAATATTGTCTGGACAAAGGAATTGAGGATGGAATGGAGGATCTTGTTATTGGTGGACTTCAAGTTATTGGTAAGTTGTGTTTGGTTAATATGGACGAAGTTTTATTTGGGTGAGTAATTTCTCCTTTGATATTTTAAATTATCATAGGGTTTTTAGGACGTATTTATATTATGGATCTTTGTTTTGATGGAGTTTATAGAATGATATTACTTGGTGAAATTCTATTTCCTGAAGGTATTGCTACATGGGGAACTTTAATTAGATGTTTTCAGGTGCTAAGTACATTAAAGGCAAGCAAACAAATTCAACATGAAGAAATAATAGCAATTATCTTGATTATCTTAATGTTCTATTTGTTAATAATGCATCTTTTAGAATTTTGTCAATAATGAGGCTGTTGCATATCAAATCACAATTCAAAAATCACAACATACAAAATCACAAAAACTTCGATTAATTAAACAATCATTTCTTGATCCAATAAAATTATCAGTACAGAATGAAAATTCGAAAACTAAGACAAAAGTAAAGAATTGAATTTATTTTTTATAATTAGCTTATTTCAGGTGTTGTTATTATTATATATTACTGTTTATTATATTACTCTTAAATATTTATCATTCTCCCCTTTTTCTTTTTTTTGAAAAAAATTTTCAAAAATGCATAATTTCATTTAAATTTATAAATAAATTATATTGCAAGTATTTATCACATTATATACAATATATATATTATTTGATTCTAGCCTTCCAGTAGAAAATACAATGAACTAATGAAATTAAAATATCCAATAATGAATGATAATAAAACAAAACAGCTAAAAAAAATTTTTTAACAACAATATTGTTTCTAATATAATTGGATCAATAGTGACATACAGCAACAAAACCAAAAAAATAGATTCTCATGAGGAGTTTAATGAAAACTTTGATGCTGAATGATTCTTTGTCTCTTTGCTGTCTTTTTTTTTTCTTACTTTTTCATTATTTCTTTCTTGTAATTATTAATTTTTCCTTAATAAAGAATTGATTAAAAAATATTATAAAACTGATAATTATAATCACATTACAAATGACTAAATTTTGATCCCTGAAATCATTGGTAACACCAATGTTCACTTTGTCTGGTTTTGTTGCAGCATGCCCCATATGAGTGACACTTGACCCCCTGTAAATCCGCAATGTCCTGCGACCAGTGTTGGCAATTTAACTGGTTCAAACCTTTTTTGAACTATTTGAACTTTGAATTGTTAATTAGTTAAATAACCAGTTAATTAGTTAAATAACATGCTGATCATTTGAACTTTGCTGAGCAGTTATTTAACCAATATGCAAGTTATTTGATAGAGTTCATTACAAATATGGAAAACAGTATCAAATGTTATTATTATATGTACTGTTTTCTGGATCCAGAGTTAATAACTTTGATTTTAGGAAAGAACAATGTTTATTTACACCTTGGTTTAAAATTTTATCAATTCTGTACACAGGAACAGCTTAGAGGAAATCATATTTTACAATAAAAAGATATAGGTGATGGTGCATATTATCTAACCCAATTTGTTAATTATTTGCAGATAATTTCCAAATTTGGTTAGACAATGTGCTCTGTGCACATAAATCAATCAATTTATGTCATTGAACCAAAGTTCACAAGTTCAAATGATTTTTTGAACTGGTTATTTAACTTTTGAACCAGTTATTTAACTGACAGTTCAAAAGTTAAATAACTGTCATTGCCAACACTGCCTGCGACTGTTAAAATTATATAGTCGCACAACATAATTTCAAGATCATCATAAAGTGATAAACGTGATAAATCGAACTTCTACCATGCTAGTCCAGGGTTGGAAATCGATTCTGGAATAATTGAAACCCTCGTCAATCAATTCATATATGATTCATATGTCAGATCATTTTATTTTTTGGAGATGTTTTTCAGAAACTCTACAATTTGCAATTGTACATGATCAGGAAGGAGAATAATATTCTAATTATTATTATCCTTTTTTAAAAAGTCAGTCTCACACCAGTTTCTGAGAATATGATGCAATGGAAAATTCATAGCACTTGGGCTATTTTCTTTTCAAGGAGCTACTTGTTGAAATTTCTTCTATGTTGTAAACTCTGCTCTGAAAAGAAAACGGAAGAGGAGAGCATAGATATGAAAATGATAGTTCTATTAAACCTAACACCTAGACCCAATATGTTAGATTGACATCACTAAATATGGGACCGCAGTTGAAATGCTGATTGTGGAGAATTATCTTAAATTCCACAATGTCCGCAGTTAAATACATGTTACAATTATCCGCAATTTTGCAATATTTTCCAATACCTGCAATAGTCCGCGAATATACACAATTCCACAAATATTTTTATATCTGCAATTCTCCACAATTTTTTTTATAAAATCAATTAAAATCTATTCTTGATACCTAAATATAGGAATATTATCTGATAAAATAACAATATTAACAATGTTAAAAAATTATTTTCTATATCTGCAATTATTCGCAATCCTTTTTTAATAAAAATTATTTCTAAAGTTGTATTTTGTTCTTAGAAAATAATCCTTATTTTATTTAATGTTTTTGTTTGCAGATCCTCCCTATAACAATTGCGGCTTGGCAAAACAATTGCAGTCTATATCTTTTTGGCCTTATAATTTTTCATATTATCAGAATAAAGATTCACTATTAATATTTTCAAGTTCTTCATCAAAATATGGATTGAATTAAATTAATACATTTTACATCATAATTTGGGCTGGCATTAAACAAATTGGCCAGAATTATGGGGGTCAATTTCAAAATTTTTATAATACAACGTCAAAATTTAATTTGACATGAGTTCTGTTGCGCTGAACTTATTTAAAAAATTCCCAACATAGTTTAACTAGAATAATTGATTTATGTTGGTTTTTTCAAAAATTACATGAAAATTTAACTCGTCAATTTTAAGATCAATTATTTTGGGTGTGATACGTATTTTATACAACCGGACCAATACCTAATTTTATTCGAATTTAATATATACAATCTAATTTATAAATAAATTAACTCAATGTCGTATGTTCGGTTCGATATATAATAAATTATTAATCCAATGAAAATTTTTTCTTGTTGCAATGAGTTATAATTAAATTCGAGTTATAATGAATTTTTAAATTTTTCTTCACAATTTTCTTATGAGTCTAGAGTTGCTAGTCGAAAGTTATAATTTCGACGAACATTTATGCATTTCGACTGTCGAAATATATTCGACAAGATCACTTGATTTGCCGTAATGTCGAAATGTCGAAAGTCTAAATTAATATTAACTATTAACATTAATGGATAATGAATATTAGTAAATTTGTGAATGGAGCCAATTTTTTAATAGTGTAAATTTTTTATTTGAAATTAGCTGATTAATTGTATACACATTGATACAATGTAACTTCACTGTAACAGCGAAGGAAAATTAAAAAATTTTCCAATTTCAATCTTAATTATAGAAGAATATAAAGCTTGTGATTTTTTTGCAAATTATTCCTAAGATTGTTATAGGAACTAGATTTTATTGAGTGTTTTTAAAGAAGCTGCTTTGGTAGCTGAAACTAAAAACTTGTTGATTCTAATATCGAACAATTATTGTTAGATAATTTAATGGACTTAACTAATCCTGAATTTGGCAAGAAGATGTTGTGCGTGAATTTTGAAACCTGCGTGAATTTGAAATTAGCCAATCAGAATCTTGTATTCAAATTCCCTACCCAAATTTAATTTTCACGCACAACAAAGGTAAAGATTCAATAGTGAAAAAAATGATGAAAATGATGAAAATGATGAAAATGATGAAAATGATGAAAATGATGATAATGACACAGACAGCAATAATGAAGACAATGAATTCGATGAAGATGTATTTAGAGCAGCATTTGTACAAAGTTTATAGAATGAATATGATAAATAATTTAGCATATAAAATTTGGTTTTTTTTTATAAATAAAAAATATTAAGATATTTTAATATTTTTGATATTGCTTAAAATAATTGAACTGCGCCGACTTTAACACTATCAATGCCTGAAAAGGGCATAATTTAAAGCATTTTGACAACATTTAGGCATTTTGACATTATTTGGACTTTTAACATTAATTTAGACTTTCGGCATAGCTTTAGAGTTTTGGCAAATATTTAGACCTTCGACATGAATTTAGACTCTCGACATGACTGAATTTCGAATGACGAAATGTTTCGACAAAGCTCAAAACATTTCGACTAACAATTCTATATGCGTCCCATCCTATAAAAGATTATGTAAACTTTCCCGTACCTAAATATACGGGAACGATACGGAAAAATTTCTCCGTGTCTTTCCCGTATTAAATCCTTTTTCATGTACGGAAACCATATGGAAAGCGCACGGGAAAATGATCCAAAAGCACTACACAATGGTTTTCATACCGTTTCCATATTTTTAGGAGGAAAGTTGATTTTTCCGCATGTATTTCGTATCAAAAATGCGTTTTCTTATTAAGATACGTTTCCCTGTGTGCATATATATTGACATGTATTGATATATATATTAATTTCACACCACATCTATTTAGTATCTATTCTGTAGAAAGCTTTTATTCATTGAAATGAGTTTTAAATTTAAAAATCCGACTTGATTCGAATCGAATCTCTTTAAAATCCGACTCATTTCGTTTCGTGCGGAGTCTTAGATCTGAGTGGACTCGCATTATTTTGTGGCTTTTTTCAAAGTTGCTTCCTTTATGCAATTAATTATTTTATTTTATTAATCCTTTATGGATTTGAGAAAAAAACATAACTTGCCAACAAAATAAAAGGCATAATTAAGTTGGGATGATTGTTTACAACCATTGAAATCAAATGATTGATGAGTTGGCTAATTTTGGTATTTCATTGAGAAGTTTTCTAAGAAAATAATATTGTAACATGTTCAAACATAGGAGGGAATAAGACAAAGGATTTTGCGGCAGTAGCAAAGAAAAAAAAATGCTATTATAAGTTTTGAGCTGAATGATTTAGAACATCTCTTATTTCGACTGCAAAAGAGTTATTGTTAACTTTAAAGGAAGGTTTAATTGATAATTCAAGAAGAAAATTGAAATATTCTAATAATAATATACCACCAAAGAATTTATTATCCAAAAAAACAAAGAATAATTTGCGAGATGCTACGAGAAAGAAATTAATAATTAGGGAAAAATAATACCTTTTATATAGGTTATTTATATATTGGAATTTCATTAATCTTAGATATAAAATAAACTAAATCACCAAAAACAGAGTCAGGTCAAAGTTAATTTGTGAAAATACATGACCCAGAACCCGTGATATTAGTTTTTCATATTATTATCGTGATCACATTTTATTAGTAGAATTGTGATGTTAAAATAATTTGACTAATTTGATATTTGAAATTTCTTTGAGAATTATCTTTACTTTGTCTGGTTTTACTGTATTAATATATGTCTAATATACATAAATATATGTTTTGTTAAGAATCAATTCATGTCACGTGATTTAAATTTTATTTATCCAATTCATTCAAGAATACGTATATCTCTTCACAGCAAACAAAGCCCGCTTGCCTGTTAAGCCAAACTTATAAGAACGTATATACCTTTGTAAAAGTTTCTTACCTCCATCATCAATGCTGTGACCCGAAGCTTCCGAAATAGTTTTGGGGAAAAGAGCCTCTCAAAAGCCTATCTGAAACCTAATTTTTACTGGAATTAGATTTTTAATTTCAATTTTATTCAATTTTGTTCAATTCCAAGTAATAGTTTTGCAAGAAGTTATTTATATTAATAAGAATTGTAATTTTGGCAAGATTTTATGTTTTTAGTATAATGGAGATCACTAAATATGATTTTACCAAAAACCTCTATTTTGCAATACCCTAGCATAAAAAATCATGCGATAGAAATTTTTTTTGAGTTATTTAGTAAAAAAAAGTTATAATGGTTTAAAGTTGGGTAACTTTACTAACCACGATTTTACCTATTATTCACGTGACCAAGTCGCAGATCTTTTACAAACTTAGATTTTAAAAATTCATTTATAAAGTCATTATTTCCAAACTCTTTTATGAGGTTTATATTTTTTCACAGCAAATAAAGCTGCTCCTCCTAAAAGTCATAATCCATAACATCTCCTTGCAAATTTTCTAATTTTACAAAATGATGCTATTACCTGTAATTCTTTAAATGAATAATTACAGTTCTTTCTGACATGACTTTTAACTGCACCCCAAAAACTTTTGATATAGTTCAATCAATTCACAGTGATATTTGGGATAAAATACTATTTTATGTCCTGCATTTTCTACTATTCCTTCTAATTGTGATTTTTGTGACAAGAATCAGGTTCAATGATAAGGATCGATCTGCACAACAATCAACAACTTCAGAAACTTGTGTATGATTTTAATACAATTTTCACACCATTAGGTAAAATCATAATTATAGAAAAATTTTAAAATTGATAATCAATTACCTGATGACACACTTTCTGAATAAACTGAATAAATTTTCTTTGTATATATTGAGTTCTTTATAAAGCATATTCGGCATAAAAAATTTCGGCTAGTGGCACAACACATGATGTCTTTAGATGTATTTCGGGCACAAGTTTAGGTTTAAGATTTTATTTTCCCCTAAACTAGTACTAGTTTTGAGTAGTCTCGGTTTCGGGTTTCCCAATACTAAATTTAGTATTAGAGTTCCGAGACACAGCATTGTACATCGTCAGTTTCCATTTACACCATCAATCTCGATTGCCAAAAAAAGAAAAACAACCTTCTTAATACTATAAGAGGCGATGTTCTAATATTTTTAATGGAAATTATGATATATTATGATGTTCTACTACATGTTAACTTTAACCGCTAACACCTTTGAAACCGTTACTGTGCCGCGCAATAGAAATTAAATGATTTTTGGAAAGAAGAAATTTAGTATCGAATGGATGCAAGGATCTACACTCAAGTAGTAGAAAGAGTGGTGTTGTCGTCGTAGCAATATAAATAAATGATATTATGTCTATTGTATAATCTTAATAAATATTTAATAATAATCGCTAATCTAAAAACTTAGTATGACATTGTTTCATCTTAACAATCACAGCAACGAAAATGTCAATTTTTAAGGTTGATTCTGTTTCTTGTGAAGAACATAGCAACATTGATGTGAAGAGATGGCAAAAAATATTTGCCATAATATTGATAATCTTTCAAGATTAAAACATAAAACAATTCATTCAAATCTTCAAATACAAATGACTAATAAATCGATGCATTGTAAACTTTGTTACTATACAACAATTTTTGCTTCCCATATAAAAATTGCATTTATGCCAAAATTGCCGATGCTAATTGTGATTTATAGATTCGTTTGACTGTGTTATGATTATTATTTTCTTTGTAGATTTATAATAACAATAAATATATATTAAGCATAATGGATGATACCATGTAAAAACATTCATTATAGATAGTTAAACGAAGTATGATTTCCGATTAAATATTTGCCTCATCCTAATAATAATATACACAATTCATCTATAACATTGAAAAAGAAAAATTATTATCATCTAATGAAATTGCTTTTCATTGACCGCTAGCTAAAATTGTGATGTGATGCTTCGGCAATACCAAAAAAGACTTTTTCAACGATAAACCACCTCTAAACCAAAAAAGGCAACAAACCATCGCATCTAATTTAAGATTCCTGATCGAATAAATTTATTTATAGTATATAATTGTGGGAGATAAACACGCGCCCTCCTTTTTTAAAAGTTTGGTTAGCATGTTTTCATTGATTAAAGTAAAATAGATATGTCACGTGATTAAAAACAATAGAGCATTAACAAAAGAAAAAAAGTATAACAATGACAAGACCATGGAAAAATGAACAAGAAAACAATTTGAAAATAATACGAGTCTACTCGAGTCTCTGGGGGCCCACACTAACAAATAAAATTTTCCTTAAAAAATATTCTTCCATTCCCGATTGTATACGACTGCAAGTCACATATAGAGTTTCTTAATCATTTACATATCAAGTTTATGTGTTAGATTCAATAAAATCATCCTTCAATTAATATGCTGGGAACTTTAACACTGACATATGAAAAACTTTGATAGGCTTCCTGAAAAAAAAACAAAGAGGCTGAATGCGATTTCAATTAAACTGAATTTTCCACTACATCGTACGTACCCTTTCAGAATGAGGAAGTAAAATTGATATATCTTTGATCAGATTGGTTGTAATATTATAGATAGATATTAGGCTTAAATAATGAACTTTTTTCTTTTATTCAATTATACAAAGTATGTTACAACAAAAGATTAAAAATATGCAAAATGGGAATTGATTTTATGGATGCAATATTATATTATTATTAATAAAATATCTAAATATGTAAATTTTTATTCATAAAAAATCTTATCTTAATGTTTTCTAATAAAAAAATATAAAATTAAATAATCAAAAGATTCATAGATGGTTGCATGTGAATTAGGAATCAAACTTGATCCTTTTTTACTAATAAGATTATTGCTACTTTTGCGAATAATGATAAATATCATCATCACCATCATTAATATTTGGATTTGAATAAAGATGATTATTAATAGAAGAATAAGATTTTACTACTTTTCTTGAAGAATATGGAATTTTTTGAGTTTTGGAATTACTATCGTTACTGCTTCTATTACTATATTTATAATTACCAAATTTAGGTGAATCAGATATAGATGAGAGCGACGATGAAGAACTAAGAGGAGGAGGAGAAGGAAAAGGATGGTGTACTGGTGAGGGTGATTTTATTACGACATTATTTAAAGTGTTGTTTATAGGCTTATTATTATTAGGATTACTATTAAAAGAATGAAGAAGATTTTTTCTTTGAATCTTTTGTGATTCTAAATCACTTAATTCTAATAAGTCCAAATTTGCATTTCCTTCCTCTTTCTTCCTATTATCGTTGTTAAGTTGAAATAATTGTGAAAAAAACCTTTTGGTTGCTTCTAAATGATCTGCAGCAGTAATTTTTTTAACTTTCTCCTCCTGTTGTAAAGATGCCCAAGTATTTAATAGATTTGATCCGTAAGTTTGAATAAAAGAATTACGCTTGTTATTATTATTGACATTTCCTATACCATTATTACCGCCGCTGTTTCCTTTTTTTGACTTTTTGTGTTTTTCTTTACGCATTAATTTTACGAAATAAAATATACCACCAAGTACAATTATAGCACCACCTACAATTAAAAATATTGACGATTTATCGAATGTTTGTGGTGGTATTGTATCTGAAGATATTTGTGATTGTTCTACATAATTATAATAATTCTCATTATTTTTAGAAGATAAGGAAGATGGTGAAGAATAAAAGGATGGTAATGATGGTGACGAAGACGAAGATGATGTTAATGAATTTGATGGGATTTGAGTTTTTGTGTTTAGGGAATTCATAATATATTTAATAATAAGTTTACATATAATTATTAAAAATTAGTTTTATTAATTAATAAGAGAGAAAAAAATGGTTTTCCTTAATTTTTTTCAAATTCTGATATTATCAATATATTAAAGAAGAGGAAAAAAAAGAAAGTGAAGGTTATAACTGAGTTAGTAGTTGAGAAAATAAAATATCTAGCTCAGTTAATTCACCACTAAATTCCCTCTGATTAAAAAATAAAATAAATAAAATTAAATAAAAAAATTAAAAAAATACTTTATCAAAAAAAAAACATTTTATATAAAAGATATAAAATATTAATTTCTATATTAATGAAATTCATCATAACCCAAATTTATACTAAACCGTTTTGATTACATAACAATACATTAAATGAACGCGACAAAGACTAATCATTATTCATTCTAGTTTAAATTAATATATATACAGTTTTATTTTTTTGTAAATGTAATAAATAAATAAAGATGAAATTTTAATGAAATATAAAGATTTCAAATTTTGTAGAATTTGTTATTTTAATTTATTTTAATAAAAGTTTCCCTGAAAATTTGGATAGAATTAAAATCTATCAATAATTTATTTTTTTTACCTTATTACTTTTATTACGATTATTCCGTAACACGAGACGTGTTGAAATCATCTACTGATTGGCCTTATAGTTGAATGTGACAACATGTGAGTGATTATCACTTCCAATTGCAAGTTCAATTACAAGTTCCGTTACAAATTTAGTAAATATTATTTGCCATTTCATTGTGTGACTAGTACAATATCTGCAGAAAATTTTCACACTGCGATAAGGTTCAAAATAAAATTTATGAACTTATCAAATATTTTATCCTGATTATAATAGTAATAGATATGCTTGCTTCCATACTATTGGATATGGGACAATCCCAATCCCATTGGGTATGGGTGGGTGGGTGGAGCTTTGAGGTCAGTAAAAATCCCACTCAATCTCAATCTCAATCTCAATCCCATATCCCATCCCGTATCCCATGACCAGATTCCATGTCACTCACCATTAAATAATTCGGATCGATCGATATGTGGGATTAATAGGAAATTTAATTAATAGCCAGAATCCTGGATTGGTTTTTTAATTATAGAAATTTGAATGACAAAACATCCTATTTTAATTGTGAATTTCGCTTCAGTAGATGGAATAAAGTCACATTTATTTACATTATGGGCCAAGAATAGAAAGCAAAACTAAATCGATTTACTACGTGTTGAAGTCTTTGAAAAATTGTAATTTAGTAAATTATGATTATTATTATTATCATCATAGTTATCATATATTTGCTTTAGTGTTATTAACTCTATTGTTATTATCATATTTAAAAATATAATAGTTTAGTAAAGATAATATATAACAGTTGATTTAAAATGAGCAGACATAAGGTTTTTGAATAATATAATTAGAATTGTCTATTATTCAAAACATATTAATTGGGAGTATGAATACATTTATATATTATAATTACTCCAGTTTATATTAATTAATATACGGTTAAATTTTTCTTTTTTCTAAAAAAAAAAAAAACCAAATCTATGGCAAAATGATTTGGTTGTGCAAAAAGACTTGTTACACGATCATTATGATACATTTTGTTAATGGGATATGGGTTTATAGATTTTAAAGGGTACGAGTATGGGCGGCAAGTATAGTAATAGGAGTGCACTTCGTGTTACATTACAATTCTAATTAAATTAATGATGAATGGATGAATTTAATTAGAATTAATGATCCCAAATCCAACGTTTTTTTTTCCGGTCGGGAATATTTTATTTATTCCAAATTAAATTATGTGCACACGAAAAAGAATTATTTTTATTAAAAAAATAATATGATAACATAAAAAAAAAATAAATAAATGTTAAAAAATTTATTTAATATTAAGTATATATTAAGTAAAAATGTCCAATAATCAATCAATTTCTAAAAATTATCAAATAATAAAAAAATAAAAATAATAAACAATAATAATAATAAATTTTTTTAAGTTAAAGAAGATTCATCTTGAATGCTTTTTTTAATTCTTAATAAAATAGTAGTTTTCCAATTATCTAATTTTGTGAGTTGATCAAATTCAACCACTCTATTTGTAAAAGTTTCAACATCTCCACCTTCTACTGCCTCCAAAATAGCCTTCAACAACAACAACAACAATAATAGTAATAGTAATTAGTGCTTAATTTTTGCTATATCTATATATATTTACAAACAAAAATCTATTAATTAATTACCTCAAGAAATTGACATTCTCTTGTGCCAGAAAAAGTAACATCTACATCTCCATATCTTTCAATAGCTCTACGAGCTCCAATATGATCCTATAATAGTAATAATTTATTATTAAATATATACAAACAACATTTTTACTTCCTCTTCCATTCCACACACTCTCTCCATCCATAAACACATCCATCCCACCTCTTCTTTCTTATTCTCTTTCACTTCCATCACATATATATACTCACCCCAAAAGCAATATGACACAATCCAGCTTTCAAGAAATATTCTTTAAGTGACCATTTTGCCAATTGATTATCAAGACTTGCCATAGCAACTTGCTCAAACTTTTCAATTGCTTTGTCATATTGTTCTAATGTTGCTGCAAATGTGGCAGCCTTTATAAAACAACCATTTGCCAATCTATAGTTTAAATTATTAAAGTAATTAAACATTATTAAAAGTGATTTAAAAAAAATATCAACTATATTATTGCTACTATCATTACTATAAATGTCAATTCTACTGTCGCCAATAATAATACTATTATTAATGCTGTTACCACACACATTAATAATAATAATAATAATAATAATAATACTTACGCTGTTGATTCTTCGCCTAAATACCACTCAGCAGCAATTTCATATGCTTGCATTGCTTTCTCCAAATCAACTAAATCTGATTCATAAATTTGTGCAATATCTTTTTGAAGATTGGCTGCTGCTTGAAATCTACCTCGATCAGTAAGTATTTCAATGGCTTGCTTCAAAGAACTAATTGCCTCTTTTTTTTTAATTATTATAAATGTTATATAAAACATTATTATTGTAATTTTTGTTTATATTAATTTAATTTATTAATTGAAATCAATTATTATTATTAATTATTATTTCAATAGCTATTCGTTCACTAATTCATTCGGTTGATTGATTATTACCTTCAAAACTACATTTTCTATAACATTTTGAAGCATTTATAAATGTAGTAGATGCTTCATCACGTTCATTTAATTGTAATTGCATATTTGCAGCTTTGATAAACGCATCTCCAGCTTCTTTCCCTATACATATACATATACATATAATATAATCAAATAATGGTTTTTTTTAATTTCATTTGTTTTCAATTACATCATTTATTCCATTTACACTATTTCATTAATAAACTCCCAAAAAAATTAAAAAATTAAGACCACACAACTTGCATGAAGAATATTCTCTTACATCGTTTTGCCAGCTTAAACATATTTGCAGCTTTATTGTATAATTCGGCTGCATCTTCATATTTATTTCCTCCAAACCATTTAAAAGTGTTTGCTGTCTTATCGGCTTTTGTTAAAATTGATTGTGCATCACCACGTTCAGACATTTTATTATTATTATTTTTATATTAATTAGTTGAATTAAAAAAATAAAAAAACTACAATTACACACGACCACTTTTAGATAAAATCGTGAAATTTGCTCAACGCCACATTGTACCCTCTCTCTATATAATAATAATATATAATCAAAATTTTCGGTGGGATCTTACGTAAGCAAAAAATTTATTGGCTACACACAAATAGAATACGCTAAAAATCGGCCACGAAAATATGTTGGGACGCCAAATTTTGATATATATAAATCAATATAGAAACACAACTCATTGCATGACTAATAAATTTTTTAATAGAAAGAAAGATTTTTAAAACTGAATCAGGCCCCCGGAATGAATGATTAGAGTCTGACTGTGACAATTGCGAATATTCCATATTAGTATGTTTAAAAATTTACTATTCCGGCCATCTTATTATACTTTTTAGGAATGTGATACAAGGCCGAGATTATAGAGGTCCCGCACCATACAAATACATATTAATATGCGTCATTTCAGAACACCGCATAACCCATACGTTGGTCGATTAGTAAATTCTGTTAAATTTACCTCATTAGGATTTTTACATTTAAAAATCGTCAATTTGCCCCATTTTTTATTACTTCTTTGTGATGCACCATATGCAGTGAACATTCCAACTGGTTCTAATTACTTGGCTATTTCATCTTTTAGGCTTTCTTTTCAAATTATTTGCATCATTATTATTTCCAAGAAAAAAAACTAGTGATTGACTGTTTCCCTTCCTTGCTTCTTTACATTTATTATTACTTGCATGTCTTGATAAGGATCATATTCTTTAATCTAATACGTTTACCACAAATGCAATATATTATTTTACCATCTATCACACAACTAACAAATTCATGATTTTTAAGAAGTTCTAACGTTAATTTTTTTTACGAATTTTTGGCATTTTATTTGAAACATCATCCCGGTTTTTACTTCTAAAGAACGTATGGGTTCGTATAGAATTATGCATATTTTCGGGCAAATTATTCATCATTCATCGCATAAATACCGAAATCAATAACATATTAAAATCTTTGTCTTTACCAATATATACAATTGGGTGGGATGGAGAGAATAATTTGACTTTTATGAAGAAAATAGTAGAATTAAATTTAATTTAATATGGTTTATTCAACAAATGACCATGTCATTTAAAATTGATTTCTAAATGACACAAATGACAAATTACGAGCCACTTGAGGTAATTTGAGTCCCTTTCCATAACTCAAGATAAAGCAGCATGAGCAAATGAATTAACTATGTTCTTGATGAAGATGAAAGGGATTTAATGGTACGCTTAGCATAGCCTTTGATGGAATTAAAAGGTTGAACGAAGGCGAGTGAGATAATTAATGCCGGTGGACAAAATAAAAATAAAAAATAAATATAGTAATTAGCGATACAATAGATGAGGACTAAGATGATATAAAATGTGTGGTACGTGGACATGTGGGCTCAACAATAACGTTGATGATACCACAATACTGTACTTCTTTTACTATCAAATAATTTTGGTCAACTAGGAATTCTTTTAGTATTGCCATGGACTCTTGATATAAGCCCATTATTTATCGAATTCTTTTCAATATAAAATAAGCACAATCTATTACTGGCATATTTTAAGAGGTGTGTCATGGTCCTAACAGCAGAATATTCTTTTATTCGATCGGTTTCTTTTGGAGGTATCTGCTAGCATTTGTCAACCTGTCATCCATCGCTTTAAGCTGAGCCATTGGGGGATGTCTTGCCTTTTTATATTCATTAGCACCATTATAGTTATTATCACCCTTCATGCACATATATAATTCATATATAAATTTTTAGTTTTTTCACAATTAACCTACCTTAAAAATAGCATTTTGTATTTGTCAAGGCATTGGATTGGAGTAACAACACAAGCAAAATCAATAAGAGAATTGAAAGTGTAGAAACATTTCCATTTGGTTATTATGATATGAACCAAGGAACGTAATCGTAAGCATCGTGAGAAATAAATATTAATTTTATTATTTTTCAAACACACTCGATTTTGAACCCGATATTACATAATACACATGGAGAATTAACGAATCTTGATATAAAAATAAAAAAATAACTTATCTGAAATTTTTTTTAATCATTTTTTACATCATATGAAAGATTTTCACAATGCCATTTTTTGAACATATACAAAACAGTTACTTCTTAATGCTCTTAATAAGTTTCTTACCCTTGATCCATTATATTTTTAAATTTTACTATTAAAATCTCTTCTAAAGGTTCATCTATATAATGAAGCCAACTGTTTTCTGTGCACCTTGTTCGAGATGTTTAAGTAATAATGATGGTAGATAATATTCTTATCAGATGTATCTTCCAACGTTTAGAAGATGATTGATGCATCATGATGATTTTTGCAGTTGGTCCATTTTGCGAGAATTATTTATTAAAATAATTTAAAAATTTACGTTTGCATTGTATCATCATCATTCATCCAATTAAATGCACTCTTCTCCTTTAAATGTTTTAATTTATTAGGTCATAAAACTCTTTCAATATATCTATTTCTCTTGAATATTGTTCTTTATAAACTATGACTTTCATAATTTAAAAATTGCGTCAGTAACCACTGTTGATGATACCATAGATGTTAGCCGAAATAATAAATGATCATTGCTTAGGGCCAATCAAATAGAATGATTATTTTATGTTTCATTCATAACATAAGACTAACATCTCATGGTACTAATATTATCTTTTGTATGGATGGTAACTTGATGATCTTTCTTTCATTTTAAATTTTGACGAGGATGATGCAGAAGGGCTGCCACCACATTTATTATAATCATCACTTCTGTCTTTATCATTATGATATCCATTTCCGTGATGAGTTATCAACTAAGTTTGTATAAGTTTTGAAAAAGGCTTTGATTTGAGCATCCAAACATCAAATTATTTGCTTTGATTGATCCCATCAACCTCTTCTCAAGTCACCCCCGCGTGAAATTAATTTTCTTTTTCGTTCTTTTATTTAGGCGATGCAATTTATCTTTTTAATATGTTCTTTAAATAACATATAGTTCAAGAGGCTTGCTGGAATTTATCTATAAATCTGTCAGAATTAAACTAAACAGTAATTAATTATTAATAAGAAGCAATATTTTATATTTTATTAAAAGTAGTAGTTTAAAGGTTCTTCGTCACTCTTTACACTTGTACTGTGTTTTGGTATTCTTTCTTCTAGAGCTTATTTACGACCCAGTTCGACTAATTATGTGACTCAGACTCAAACCAATGAACCATTTCAACAATTTGAACCAAATACAACGATTGCATTTATTTTCTCTAACATTTTATTAAATTTTTGATTATTAAAAAAATTACCGGTTCTTTGTCTGGAAATTCAATATTTATAAAACTATCTTAACATATTTGGCAAAAACAATGATATCATAAAACTAGAATCGTTCAATTTAAGATGTCTTTCATCCTATAATTCATGTTCCTTTTCATGTAATCTGCATTATATATAATTATAGAGAATAAATTAATATGATAACCAAAAGAGTAGAATCGAAAGAATAAATGTAATATTCCTTTTTCTGGAATATGTATAAGGCATCATCTTATACAAGAGGTGTTCAACGTTATTTTCTCTGGAAAATTGGATTGGATCAGTCCATGAACACAAAAGACTTTCAAAAATTTCTTTGATCTTTGGAGCAAGGTTAAATGCCTCCAAACTACAGGAAAGAAGTAGAGACCCCAGAGTTTTTGTGTTTATTCATATATTTAATAATAAGTTACATATAATTTTAATTAATAAGAGAGAAAAATGGTTTCCCTTATTTTTTTTTCAAATTCTGATATTATTAATATATTAAAGAAGAGAAAAAAAAGAAAGTGAAAGTTATAACTGAGTTAGTAGTTGAGAAAATAAAATATCTAGCTCAGTTAATTCACCATTAAATTCCCTCTGATTAAAACGTAAAAATAAAAATTTATATAAATAAAATTAAGTAAAAAATTAAAAGTATTTTATATAGTGCAGGACACCTAGTCCCACAACTTTTTATTGGTATTGTATATCCTTTAGTATACCAGAAATGGAAATGTAACACCAAAAAAAACAAAACATGATTTTGAAGCTAAGACCTT